CAATATAAATTCAATTCTTTTCAAGAGAAAAATTTTATTAAACTTTTTACAGACAATAACTATTTTTATTATATTTCATGTCTTTTGTTTTATTCAATGAAATCTATAATGTACAATTCGTTTGATAGTTAAAAAACATTCTTTTCGAAATGTACTTGATACTAATGTATATAAGAAGAAAGTTATCTAAAAATGAAAATAAAGCAATATTTGAAATTAATATTCTTACTGCCATATATAAATAGTTAATATTTAATCCAATAGTACTAAGAAATGAATTAAAAGCAACTTGTTCAGCAGTTTTTATTGTTGATTGTGTTATAAAAGCATATGTAGCATTATAACCATAGAATGCATTACAAAGTATATAAAGACATACTTGAATAAATGATAGTTTAATAAATTGTATATCTTTTCGATGAAATTGTTGACCTGCATTTATTGATAATCTAACAGTATTAGTTTGTGTTCTTGCAATAACTTGTCGACGATGTCCTTGTCGAAGATTACGAAGTAGTAACAAACTAAATAAAATCATTATAAAAAAAGGTCCAATTGTTATAACTAAATTATAGATTGTATAAAATAATGGATAGAATGTATTTGGTACTCCAATACCACCTTTACTTCCGTCAATTTGATACCATATTGGAAAATTTATACTGAATAATATACAAAAACTTAAACCAAATATAATTAACCATCGATCAATGGATATAAAACATAGGAAATAACGTGCCATAAGTAAACTAATTGTTAAAAAATAAATTCGAATTCGACAATATATAATTGATGTTCGAGTTAAATCATAACCTGACCAAGCTGTTATTATACTTGTTAAACATCTAAAATAGAGAAATATTAAATGACCAAGTGATACAAATTCAAAATACCATGAATATGCATTTAATCGTAATGTTTTTTCAAGAAATACTAATATATTAGCTAGATTACTGAAATTTCCAATAATAAATATTATTGTAAATGTATACTGAGTAATTAAATTTTGAATAACAGTTAAAGAACTTGTTATTGTTGTTTGTGTAGTAATAGTAGTACTATTCATCATGCTTTATTTTTGTCATCAAATGAGTGTATGTGAAGTTCTTTAGAAAGTACAATGTTTTCACATCAGCAAATTGCTATAAACATTAATTTTCTTATTATCATCTTTCAGTCTCTAAACGTCAGAAGCTTGTAAATGTCTGATTAAAGTACGAATTAAAAATATATCCTATAACCCTGTAGACACATCTCATTTGTTAATGAAAAAATATTCTAAAAAGACTTCGATATTAATGAACATATTGTATTCTTGAAAAATACCAGGAAATCACACTCTAATTAAATAAATACAATATTATTTGATATAGTTTATACTGAGAAGAATAATTTTAGAACAAACATCTGACAGGTAAGTCACGTGTTCAGTACTTGAGAAGTAAAATAGATTAATTTTATTTTGCCTGCAAATTGAGACGTTTGTCTTTAGTAATACTGGATAAAAGTAGGTAAATCATGAGATTTGACTCAATATTTAATAATTAGACTAATAGAAAATATATTACGTAGTCCTGCTAATTGTTCACCTTCTTAATTTTCAAGATCCCAATTCGAAAATAGTCTGCCTCACCACACTCTGCTGTTATTTTCGTATTGCAATATCATAATATATTAGTCTTGATGTTTTATTGAAAACTATCGCATAAGATTGAAAATTTCATTATCGGATTTAATAGATATACTAATTAATATTTTAACTTTTTTTTTAACTTTAACTATTCAAAAACGAAGAAAATGAAACTATATAGATTTTATTAGGTACAAACGTAAAATATATGATGAACTTCAAAATAGAATTAAAAATCTTAAAAAATGACATAGTCTGCTATATAGAAAAAAGATTATTAATTTTCATTTGATAAATTACTATGTTGCCATTTGTTGAAAAATACTGTTTACATATAACTCATCTTTTGTTATTAACAAATAAAAAAATGATATTAATCGTCTTTGATAATATTGAATAAGTTGAAGAAAATAGAAGAAAGATTGAAAAGTTTAATAATGTATCAAATAAAACATTAACAGATTATGAGAAACATTACAAAACTCAATAAATATCTTGATCGTATATTACATGAACTGTTGATTTGATTACAATAATTACTCTTTTCAAGAGAATAACATTTATTCATTCAAAGAAGGAAGTGTAATATTAATAGAATGATGACAAGAACAAAAACGAAAACATTCGTCAGAAATCGAACAATATCCGCCACCATCGTAACCTGATTGAATACATGATGTATGACATTCTTGATTTTCTATTGCTGTTGGTTGAGTTAGTATACGTTGGAGAACAGATTGTGTATCTGATGTACAATGTTTTCCTTTGCTTTCATTATGAAGACATGCATCATCTTTTCCATTGATGATTGTTAAAAAACTAAATCCAATAAACCAAATAATCAGATGCATTGTATTACAATGAAGAAATATATTTGTAATAAGACGATTTTTTTGGTCTGATTTCTTCGGTTATGTTACATAACTTGCAGTTATATATGCATGGAAATGAGAGAAAGAAAAAATTGTCTGAACAGATAATGATACGTCTTATGTTCAGTCTGAATGAGAAAAGAAAGAGAGTAGAAAATCAAGATTGATTACGTTGACCGACATAAATGGATCATAACCTTATTGGTAGAAATGATATGTTTTTCTCTTTTCTTCGTTAGATGTTGCGTAAATAATGCTGAAAAGAATATGTGAATAACTTTGTCTAAGTCCTTTAACTAAATATAATCCATATTATTTTTAAAATATACGATTTTCATTATAAAATGGATGAAAACTTAATTTAGATACGTGAGAAATGTAAAAAAAAACAATCTGTTATTGTTTCCCACATATTCTACTTATTTTTGACAACACGATATCAAAAAAGAGTAAAGTCTACAGAAAAATCGAACATATTTAACTTATTTAAGAATAAAAATATTAAAAAATCCGATTATGAGATCAAAGTATCACGTTTATATTTACAAAAGCTTAGTTTAAATTCAATATACAATTCTTATAACGGAATAATAAACAAAAGTAGAACGATACACAGATAGTTGACTGTTATTTTTTAGTCTCGTATTAATATTACAAATATGTTGATATTTGTAAAAATAATTTATGTTTAAATGTCATCTAAGAATCTGAATTATTAATACTTTCATTATTATTGTTGTTGACTACTTCATATCAGACATCTATCAGTTTTTACAGGAATAGATGTAGGTTATCTTGTTTTCATTTTTACTTAATCATCATTTTAAAAATAGCTAATGGCATCTGTTATATTTCTCATAAATCATTCATAATAACAGGTGTCAGTTTTTCTGCCTATAAACAATTCATTTTATATATAAAGTCAGATAATTGTTCTCCTTAAAACAAAAACTTTCATAACTTTTGATCAACCATATTTATTAATATCATGTATTGCGTACTGTTAATTGTCGCTGCAATTATTGGCATGAGTGAGTTTTTTATTAAAAATCATAATTTATATATCATTTTTATTATATTTAAGCTTATGGTCAAGAACATTTTCCACCAGTTGCATATGGTGAAGCATGTGTTACACAAGGATTTCATGCAGGTCATCAAGCAGTCGATATTGGATCATTTGGTGCTAAACGTGTTAACTTATTTACTATTTGGGATGGAACAGTTATCGGTGTTTGTAATGGTGCTGGTGATTTTGATCAAAGTCGATGTGGAACTTGTGGTAATTACGTTGAGATTCAACACAATACTGTTAAAGTTCTTTATTGTCATATGACTGCAAATTCAATTACTGTATCTGTTGGTCAACGAGTTGCACGTGCACAAAAAATTGGTACTATGGGTACATCTGGTCAATCAACTGGTGTTCATTTACATGCGCAAGTAAGAGAAATCAATGGTGGTCAATTACGCGATATTCGTACTCGTCTTGGACTTAATGGATGGCGAAATTGTTAAATACATATAAAAATATTTTATTTTTCTATATATAAAATTAAATGATATTTTATGAAATAAATAAACTATCATATAATGTCATATTTTTTTTCAGCTTGGATATCTATTCAGTTAATTTCATTGACTTTATGATGAACAATATAGTCCGCTTATTAATAAACGAAATAATTAGATGAAAAATGAGTAAACGGATTCCAGTCGATTAATATTATTGGATTTATGCAAAGACTTTTAACAGGTTATCTTACTTGTATCTCTATAACGTTGATGTATCGACAGTAGTTATTTGTATATTTGAGTCATCAGTTATTAAAAAATCTACCTTCATGTATATGTATATATATATGTAAATAGAAATTTTGATTTTATCTTATTAATAATAAAAATATGCCATTTATAATACTTGATTAATAATAGGGAAATATTAGAATATTTTTATCATATGTATAAAAATAAAAAATGCCATGCGAAACTAAATATTCGTACTCCCTACTTCTAACCTAAAATAGTGACAAATAAACACGTACATACATATCATTCTGTTTCTTCCTTTTCTGTCAGTATCGATGAAAATAGACATCGAATGATTTTTTTTCTTTTTATCTTTACATAGTTATAATATCTGCCATCAAGAATGCACCCAAGAAGACATCTGCCTAAGTCTTCATCTACAATTAAATCAAAGTCTACATCCAATGTCAAATCGCTGTCTACATCCGTCGCTAAATCGAAATCTCATCAGTCATTTGATAGTACGGAAACGTTTTCTACTACACTGTTTACCGATAATGCAGCATTTTCAACGTTACCACGTCAAATCGATTTACGTCGATGGATGGCTCCTATAGTGAGTCAGGATCTCATGAATACTTGGTGTGTTTATATCCTCATTTATATATTACTATTATTATTATTTTGTCTTGCTTATTTTAGTGCTGCTAGTGCCTTTGCAAGTGCTTGTGAATATTTGATAAAACGTCGTACTGGTTCATATGTTCAACTCTCAAGACTTTTCATTCATTTCAATGCACAGGTAATTGATCAAAGGACTCATACAGTAGAAGATGCTGGAGCAACTAGAAAGAATGTTATAGTAGGCATGCGTAAATTTGGTGTTTGTAAAGAAGAATATTGGCCATATGATAGACGTTTATTAAATAAAAAACCATCACCTGACGCGTACGAAGCCGCAAGACGGTTTAGTATTGTTTCAATTCGACTTCCATTCCAGATTAATGCAATGAGGACATACTTAGCAAATAAAATACCTGTTGTCGTTGCTGCTAAAATTAAATATGAAATCAATGGTGAAGTAAATGCCAATGGTGGATATATACCGATTCCTGATCCAGATGATGAAGAAATATCGTATCTAGGTTCACATGCTGTTCTTCTTGTTGGATATGATGATGATTCTGAATATTTTATTGCACGTAATTCATGGGGACGTGATTGGGTAAGAGTAACAAATATACTAATGAAAATTTTGTATATAAAATAAATGTTTTTCTTCGTAGGGTTATTATGGATATTGTTTTCTTCCATATCAATATTTGTTAGATGAACGTCTTGTCAATTATCCTGATTATGCGTATGCTATTACTCATGTTGTTGCCCGTATGGATTTTTTACCACCAATGCGAAGCTTAGGTGTTACAAGTTATCCTGTGGATGGACAACGTCGACGAGCTCGTAATAGAGCACGATCGAAGAGTAGAGCAACACATGCAGTTTCCAAATACAAATAACTTAATATGTTCATTTAGTTGAATATGACAAATGGTTAATTGTATAAAAATCTCAGTAGCTTCAAATTTAATTATGTATTCTTTGATTTTTAGCGATCAAAAAAAAATTAATTTTTTTTGACAACATTTTTTAATAAAGATTGTTTTGATGTATGTATTTGTTGTAAAATTCATCCTATGGTAAACCGAAAATCAACAATAGAAATACTGTAATTCCTAAAAGGAAGTAATATGCATATATCACAAATACAGCTATTTTCGCTAGATATATTGATATATTTCGCGTATCTCCTGTAAACGATCTTAAAAACTACTGAATACTAAAAAAAATAGAACGACGATATTTTCTTATTATGCTTTGATAAATCGTGTATATGTCTAGCGATTAATTTTTTTATCCAATGAATGATATTAAGGTGTTGTGTCAAATTATATGATCTGCTTCATTAGTTATTATTTTGTTTTTCAAAAACTTCTAATTATATTTGATAATATTTTGTTGTTGTTGTTTGCTGTATGATGCACTCATATCATATGTTTTTATTTTGTCTATTGGAATAAAGTTATTTATAGTATAATGATATATTTACAACTGTAACAAATTGATGATGCGCTTTTATATTACTACTCTCAGAAATAAAATTTATTGACAACTTCATCATTCCTGTCGTATTTTTATTACTACAAAATATATTCTTGCATAGTAGTAGTCATTCAAGAGAAAAGAAAGAGAAATATACACTACCAAGGTCAATATTAAGAATGAAATTATGAAGAGAACAGAAATGAAGCGTAACAATCATTTATCATTACAATTACTAATATATTTTTTTCAAATAAAAGCACTGAACATGGTCATGTCAATTAAGGACTTCATTTCTAGAAATATATTTTATAACCATAAAAAGGTCACTTGAAATGTAAAGTAATACATTTTGTTTAAATTACAGAATCATATACTAATACGGACTTAAAATGTAAAGGACCGTTCGATGGTATTAAATTGTAATAAAATTATCTTGAGTAAAAACTTATATTTTATTCTAGAATAAAACTATTTTATTAAATATGTAGGAAAAACAAAAAAACAAAAACTTCTTCTTATCACAAACATCATTATGTAAAAACGTCCTTTTGAACTCACGTAACATTTACACGATTCTTAATTGATTAGTTTGCAATAGAAGATGATAGAGATAAAAACAGAAAATGAAATTATTTAAAAAACAGTAGTTAAGATTTCATTGTGACCATCATATCGATCAGTCGAATATATCCTTGGAATATCAAACTCAGTGGAATCGTTACGATATTGTCTTTCACGGCTGTGCACCCTAACATAATAAACGATAAAAGCAATTGTTACAAGAATAAGTGGAATTCCTAATCCTAGTGAAAGACCCAAAATTAGTGGAATATTGGATTTATCTAAAAAAAAGAAAAAATTAAACTATCACGGATTTCTAAAAATGATATCTGACTTGATGGAGGAGAGACTGGTGTAATGGTATCATTTGTTGTCGTTGTAGTGACACTTGTTGCTGTAGTGGTACCAGTGCCTGTGTTGGTATCAGTGCCTGTGGTGGTAGTAGTGCCTGTGGAGGTATCAGTTTCTGTAGTGGTATCAGTGCCTGTGATGGTATCAGTTGCTGTGGTGGTATCAATTGCTGTGGTGGTATCAGTTGCTGTAGTAGTATCAGTGCCTGTGTTGGTATCAGTTTCTGTAGTGGTATCAATGTCTGTCGTGGTATCAGTGCCTGTGGTCTTATCCGTACCTGTGGTCGTATCAGTTATTGTAGTGGTATCAGTGCCTGTAGTGGTATCAGTTTCTGCGGTGGTATCCGTTGCTGTAGTGGTGTCTTCATCTGCTCGTAGTATTTTTTCGTTGTTAGAATTAGCGTCGACTGCGATGGTTGCTTCGGCTTTAGAGACAAAATGCAGATTTAAGTGAAAGAGCAGGAGTGTAAGAAACAAAACTAAATGAAATGACATGTTTTTTTTTCTTAACTTTGTAGTACTCCTTACCAATAAGACCTTTGGATGATTGCATGACTATCTAATATGGTTAATTGGTAAATGTTGAATAAACTCAGGTAACGATTGTAGTTTCTAGAGAGAAAATGTATTGTATTAGAAGGCAATACGTTAAGAATTTGTCTATGATATACGTATTTATATATGTATATGAGTATATATGTTTAGCAATTAGCGTGTTGTTGTTGAAAATATTGTCTTGTGAAATTATTTTTCTAACTGAATTTTTGGTGCTGTACGAAAGCCAAAAATTAGTCAGAGAGACAGACAATCATGCTCAGGTTACTTCCTTTATAAGCTCTTCTCTTGAGACAAGGCATGATTATCATTACTTGTTCTTAAAATGGAGTAGGTGTTCGGTTTTAGCATATAAATGCTGAATCGTTAACGTATAATCTTTTTCTTTGATGTATGCACTTCGGTATTTTATGATTATATACAAGACCACTCAACAAGAATTATACATGGCTTCAATTTTCGTAAATACCTTTATGTATACTTGGTAAAATGAAATTCTTGGAGTAATAAAAGTGTCTATAATCAGAATAGGTAGCTTTTAAGCACAATACTTTTTGGCATTAATAAAAACTAACATGTCAGTTCTAAATACAATTGTCAAAGACAATTTTTTCAATATTCTAATATCTATTTGTGACGTCCATGTTTGTGAGTGAGGAGTCTATATTCTATTTTCCGATTTATATGAATAGATAAAAGTGTGGTCGTTTAAGAAATAATTCCAACAAAGATAGAAAATAGCGTATAATACGAATATATATTTAAGAGTAATGTCTATTTGTGGTAAATTTAGAGTCTTTTTTAAAAAGTGTATAGACGCGTAATACATGGTTACAAATATATCTCTTACTTGAATTAAATGGAAAATTTTGACGATTAGATTGGTATTGAAAATATCTTCGAAAATTCTTCTTAAAATTACTATTTCATATTTGAAATAATAATTCAAGATTTTATTAGAAACTATCTTAAATCAATAAATACTTCAGAGAAATATTTTGTAACATATCTCAAATAATATTCTAGTTTTATCACTAATGAAAAAGCAAATGAATTGTTTTATATTGGAAATTGAAAATAAGAAATTGCATCTTTTACAAGGTTCTAATTATAGAAACATACTACAGATGATAACAAAATCTTTTGTAATTCTCGTCTCTATACGCTAACTGAAAGTATCTAATTAAAAATTATCGTAAGTGTACAAACTTTTGCTAAATAAACTCATAATTATTAAATGTAAGTATTCGATGTTATGAGAACTAGGAGTGTTACTTTATCTTTATTTTATAAAGAATAAAGATAAAGAAATAAAACTAATCTTTATATTTATAAAATAAAGATAACGTAAATCTCTATCGTTATAAAATAAATACAAAGTTGTTCTTTATTTTCTTAAAGTGGCTCACAAAAAATTATGATACTATATAGTTAATTATAATGCGAAATAACATTTTTCGTTTATATCGTTTTTTTTTGATGATATGGCATATGGAACTGATGATGATGATAAGAAAGAGCCTTAATAAATGATTCGATTATTATACAGAGTATTTGCAAATGTACTTATTGCATGAAAAAATATATCGTTATTCTTTATTATAAGTTTATTTTTGCAAATAAAGATTATCTTTATCTTTTTTTATAGATATAAAGATTTACTTTATTTTTTTTATCTTTGTTTTTAATATAAAGATTATCCTTATTCTTTATAAAATAAAGATAAAGTTAATCTTTATATTTATTAACGAAAAAATCTATCTTTATTTTTTATTTTAACTTTAATTTTCAAATAAAAGCACTGCACATGGCCACGTCAAAAACAGAAACTTTGAAAAAATAACATTATTAATACTTTTTATATAGTTAGTCGAAGGACTTCACTTGTAAAATCGTATTTTATAAGCATAAAAAAGTCATTTTTAATGTAAAGTAATCAGTTTTAGTTTCTTTTTTTATTCTGTCGAAATAAAAATGTGGAGAAAATATTGAACTAATAAATTTTGTTTAAATCACAGAATCATATACTAATATTTACTTAAAATGGAAAGAACCGTTCCATGATATTAAATCGTAGTAAAATTATCTTGAGTAAAAACGTATATTTTATTATAGAATAAAACTATTTCATGTAATATGTATTGAAAAAAACAAAAAATTCTTCTAATCACAAACATCATTATGTGAAAACGTCCTTTTCAACTGAAGCAACAGTTACACAATTCTTAATTCATTGATTTGTGATAGAAGATGATAGAGATAAAAAAAAGAAAATAAAACTCTTTAAAAAATAGTAGTTAAGATTTGATTGTCACCATCATATCGATCAATCGAATATATCCTTGGAATATCAAACTCAGCGGAATCTTTATGATATTGTTTTCCACGGGTGTGCACCCTAACATAATAAGCGATAAAAGCAATTGTTACAAGAATAAGTGGAATTCCTAATCCTAATGTAAGGCCCAGAATTAGTGGAATATCGGGTTCATCTAAAAAAAGGAAAAATTAAATTATCAGGGAATTCGAAAAAAAAAATATTTGACTTGATGCAGAATATACTGTTGATGTGGTAGTAGAAGGCATCGTTGGTGTGCTACCATTTGTATTATTTTCAGGAGCATCTAAAAGAATATTCAAAAACATGTTATTTATTTTTATTTATATGAAAAAATATAACTATTGTTATTTTAATCGGTGACTAACTAGTTTTTACGTACATGAACAATCCCTATTGGACAATTGGATATTGTCAAGTGCAAAATAAATCGATTCATTCGATGATGTTGCTGTAGAACTAATATTAACAACTTTGAATTTGAACGAGAGCTACAAAATAAACACATTAAAACTACTTATTTGAATATATTAAATTTACATTATAGATAATAGTTGATGCGTTGATATTGACAGCACCCTTTTCCCAGCCATTAGGTGTCATATTCGCAGTTGTTACCGTATCGATCAGATGAGTTTCATTGTTTAT